CTTATCTTTTATGTATGTATGCAGGAATTTTCCATGTAGTAAAACTTGTCTGATAGTTATGGAACTTTCTAAAATCAAACAGATCAGGCATTTGATTTTTTATGACAGACAACTCGCATGTAGTTATAATATTTGTCACAATTATACAAATACACACACGCACATCCTAAAATTCTATTAGCCTTGCTGTTAACAAAACACTGCCTCAGTGACTTGAGTGATTTATTTACCATTATGCTAAGATACTTTTATTCAGTCATACTCTTGAGAGTATATTGTAACTTCTCTTTCACCTTTTCTTGAACTAGTACTCCTGTTTTCAATAAGGTCTTTAGTTTCCCCCAGTTTCATTCTTTTCTTCCTGTAATCAGTTTATTACAACATTATTTCTCTCTTCATTTCCATTACAGTTCTTCCTCTTAGATATTTAGTTTTTTCTTGTTTCACAAAGACTTTTATGTTTTTTCCAAATTCTACTTATTTTCGTGTCTTCTAGTATCTTCCCCTTTTTTCCATTCCTTTCTTAATTTTGCATTGTCTTTCCTTATTTTTTGTTTCCTTGAAAACACGTCCAGTTATTTGTTTTATCTTTTTTACATTCTCTAATCTTTTTGTTCTTTCTTTCTAACACTTTGTAATCTCATTAATACGTTTTCTCGTGTATTCTCTTAGTCAGCTTCAAATACTTTTTTTTGCTACCAGCTCTCATCCTTCCCTTATATGCTCCTAGTTTGTGCTCATCCTCTACAAGTTTTTTAACTGACCTACACTACTATTTCTCTTTCCAACTTGTATTCCTCGCAATCAACTATCAATTTTAATATTACAATCGTTGTTCTAGTTATTTACCTCTCCATCCATTGCTGATGTCAAACACAGTTTTTAACCATTTACATTCAGTGGTGCCCCCATCACCAAACACTACTAATTATGTATAACTAAGTAATGTTTTTCTGGATCATTACAGACTTATTTAAGTTTTAAAGACTTGATGAAGCTCTAAAGAAATTTGTTGGAGCCAGTGTTAAGTGATTACTTGTCTTACGTATTCATAGTGTTTGAAAACAACACTAAATTATTATGGTTGGTTAAACCATTTCTCTATAGCATAAGAAGCTTTCTGCCATTTACAGGAAAAAAAAATGCACATTGCCAGAATGAAATTCTGAAACACACTTACCTCTTCTAATACTATAGCTTTATCCCAACAAAAGTTTCTCTTCTCTGCCCACCTAAGCATTGGTATGAATCTTACCTCGTTTGCTCCAGCCATTATACCCCACTATATTGTCCAAAGCAAGTTAAATTTTGTGATTCTCTCAATTCTACATCAAGTACCCCATATCCTAGATCTTTATATAAGCTCTTCGTTATGACTTCCTATTAATTTTTCTCGATGCCAGAACGTTACAGCGATGGTTTTACATGCTTGCTGCAGGTTTCTCTTCAGTGTTGAATGGGTTAAGTTATACCTGTGCTTTAGACGATTCCTTCTTTTTTTTATAGACCTGTCTTCCTCGGATATGAAGTTCGTAGCCTATTTTCTTTATTTTATTAGATAACGAAAATGAAATTTTGAAGTAATAGTTTTTCAAAGTAATATTTTGTGTTTATTTCTCTTATTTTTCAGCTACCTTTTCATCTTTTTCATTTGGTTCCCACTCGGTGTCAGGTGTTGCCTGATCAGGTATGCTTCCTTCTACAGCATCATAATTCCAGTGACAAGACTTGGGACTTCATCTGCCTAATTGGGGTCTGGATAAATATGTCTTGTTCTGATGATGCTAGGATTTCACCTATATGGCTGGTCGGCCTTTACTGGCCAAGAATTAGATTTTATATTGTCTGGGTGAAGAGCATACCTGTTCCAGAAGTAGTGCTGACCCCACTAGTGTGCTGTTACTATATCTCATTTTCACACACCTCGTTTCTGCACAGGCACTTTCTGTGTGGATCTTGCCCTTGCTGGCCCCTCCACCTTTTCAATGTGAGATGCTAGCTATAGTGTGAGAGGTGGTAAGTGTGTTTTTCGGAAGTTAACATTTTCCTCTACCAAAAATGTATTTCCGATGATACTTATCTCCTCTCACACTCTCCTGCCCTTCCTTTCCACAAAGTGCCTAGTTTCGGGTCTGCTAATTGGCATGTCTCGAAAAGTGAACAGGAAGTCATAAGGGGGAGCTTATATACAGATCTGGGATACGGGGTGCATTGATGTAGGTGGAGAGAGTCACAAGATTTAACTTGCTTTGGACAATATAGGGGGGGGGGTATAATGGCTGAATCAAGTGAGGTAAGATTCATATCAATGCTTAGATGGGCAGAGAAAGACACTTCTGTCGGGATAAAGCTACAGTGACAGCAGAGGTAAGTTTTATTGGAAATATATTTTCGATAGAGAAAAATGTTAACTTTCAAGGTATTTTGTACTCCTTAAATGCTAAAATCACCAGACTTATTTAAATGTTTATCTTTACTGCAGGTATTGGTTCCATTCCGGATGCTGTTCTGGCCAGCTTGAAAAGTCACAAAGACCTGGGAGTTCATTCTGAAATGTTCAGCGACGGTGTTGTAGACTTGGTAGAATCGGGCTGTATCACTAACAACCAAAAGAAGATCCAACCAGGGAAAATTGTGGGTAGTTTTACAATTGGCACTCGACGTTTGTTTGATTTCATGGATAACAATCCGTTCATTAGTAAGTAAGAGTTATATTTTTTAAAATTAAGAAAACTACGTTAATAAAATAATTTCTCGGGTATTAATCCTTCCTTGATGGATTGGTCGTTTTGCATGACCTTGAAACATCACAAAGTTATTCATATTATAACTGAATTTACAAAGTGTATCATCATAAAATTTGGCAAGCTTTTAGTAAACATTACAAGTCTATTGAACACAAAACATCACAATTTTTAATAAAATATTTATAGTAAACATTTCAATTTTTTACCTTTATACAAAATGTTTTAAGTGCCTGGCATGTACCATGTACACAGTTTATTCTTCCTTGAAAATCAGTACATCACAGCTAGTACACTTTACCAGATTACTGTACTCTGATATGGCATGAAATTGTGCACTCAAATGGTATAGTTAAATAGGCCTAGTTTTTTGTTTTTTTTATCCCAGTTCTTTGCCAAAACAAAAATTCATCTACCTTTCAAATGTGCATTTTAGAAAAATGTAATACGTAACTCGTTAAAATAGACTGTAAAACAACTGTAATTTAACCATTTTTTTTTAACTTAGCTATATTGGTAAATTTTGATGATTAATGAAAAAAAAATGTGATTCAGACTTAAGTATAGTTTCAGTATGAAACAAAGCATGTTTCCTGATTCATAATTCAGTTTGTTTGACTTTGGAGAAGGACATTTTTCCTTTAGGCCAATAATATTATGTAAAAGGAGATATGATAGTTACTTTATTGATACTGCATGGAGAAGTTTTAAATATATTTCATTCTGAAAATATAAACATGGTTTTGATGAGATATAACCCTTGAACATCCTACATAGAATTAACCATGTGAAAAGCAAGGCTGCTTTAGGAACCTTTAAACTTTGACCTTGTGTCTTATTAATCGGCATTGCAAAACAAATTCTAACTGGGACTTGGAGCCTTCTAAATTCAATGGGGTAAAAACTTGGTAGCAAAGGAATTCTTGGAATGAAGACACTGTAAATCACCCAACTGAATTCCTAAATTCCCTTGAACCACCAGGGATGCCAGAGGTCACATTCCGAAGTTAAAGGTTGGTTCACCATTAATGTTGTTGAGAAATCTTGATCCTCCAAAATTATGTAATGGCACAAGTTTAGTTGTCAAGACTTTACTGTCATTGTTATTGATGCAACAATTATAACTGGTCATGACAAGGTTGAAGACAACAACTGTAACTGGAACACCGACAGTTGAGCTGTAGGTGAAATCCTGTCCGGGAACCTTTACAATAATTGATCATTTTGACGTGCAAGAATTGCTCTTTTACACAACCGTTAATAATTTTGAAAAATATTCGGGAACACCTTTTCCTTTAGCTCTTCTGCATCCTTAAGTAAGTTACCACATTTGTCTGGAACAGTAATGTAACTGATTGATTGATTGATTGGAAACTTTCCAACACTAACTTAAGAAGTTTCCGAGGTAAACCGTTTGCTTTTGTATCACCAAAGTTATTAAAAACAGAGAAAAATAAACCACAAATTAACGTACATTACACGTTCAAGGTAAACAACATTGTTGGCCTAACAACAATATCGTGATAGTTTTTTTGCTAAGTGACAATGTATTCTCTGTTGAGTATTGCCAAAAGGAGTATGACACAAAGACAGAAACTGAATTAATGGCCAAAAATTAGTTTTTGTCCTTGTGGGATTTCTGCCTATTCACATTACTTCTGGGGACTGTAGGAGTCACCAGGCTAAGTTTGATGGTGATTAGTCAAATAGTGTGCGAGTAGTTAGCGGACAGACAAACATACAGTTTTGCTTTCAAATACCTTTAGATGATATTGATTCATTAATGCAATAACAAAACCATCATACTCAATAAGATGTGACTAAAACATAGATAACTGTTTAAAAAAACAACTTTGTATGTATATTAAGGCTGTGTATGAATACAGTTTTAGATTTTCTAGGACTAAAACATTCTTTTTTAATATTTACGGTAATCCAGAAGCAAGAGGATTTGTTTAAAAAACAAAAGTTACATTCGTGGTACATCACAGTGCTATTATTTTAGGACCACAGTTTACAGCAAACATTTTAATTTTTTTTTTTCTTTTATAAATCATACGGTAAGAAATATGGGAAATAACTGCCTGTACATTTTTTTTTTATCAAGTGATGATGGATGTTGGATATGTGAACAGCATTCCTATAATTGCTTCAAACCCAAAGGTCACGGCAATCAACTCCTGCATTGAAATTGACCTTGCAGGTCAAGTTGTATCCGACTCCATTGGTACAC